GACCAATATGTAGAACTTCAAGTTGTGGAACTTCAAGTTGAGTATCTTCAAGTTGAGTATAGAAGAGTTTGAAACTTCTAATGGTGAGGGTTCCTTGTCTAGTTTTCTAAGAATAGTCAATATAAAAGTCTTATGGCTAGACCTTTGGCTACCAAAGAGGAAAAACTGAACCTCAACCAAAAGTGAGGTCAACAAGAACGGTGACGACTTTCATCTTCTGGGAAATCTTGGATCACCTGTTGGCAGAGTTGGGGACTCCACCTACAACCTCATCTCATTTTCCTATTTATAGGCTCAAAAAATGCCAATATTTATGGTTATATATTAATGCATTCAATTAAAATAGTAAATGAAAAAATAAAAAATCTGCAATAATTCACGTTCTTCTACCTTGTGGATTTTGACATTCTGTCTCATGAGATTATATATTCCAAATTAAAAATAAGAAATAAAAACTATTTCAAGTATTAAATGTGAAAAAATTCTTCATATTCTCTTGTTTAATTATTACAAATTAAATATGCTTAAATTAATTTTTAAACCCACTTTATTTGTGTGTTTGAGTGTGTGTCAGTGTATGTATAAACTGCTAATTAAAAAAATAAAATTGAAATCTACCTTAATTTTTTTGTTTTTTGGCTTTCCATCATTTAGTTTTTGGTCATCCGGCTTTCGCCTCATTTCCTGCCAACTTTCGCCTTATATCCTTCTGACTTCTTCATTTCAAAAAAAAAAAAGTTGAAAATCTTTTCATATTTCTACATTTTAACATTTAATATTCCTTCACCTAAAATAAAAAAAAAATAATAAGATAATACAAAATAGCTCATAAAAAAAATAAACTGGTCAAATTTCATCATTTAGGCTCTCAAAATCTGCTCAAATTTCACTTTGTGAGCTAAATTTGATCAAATTCGGCAGTTCGGATTCCTAAACCCTGCTGCTAAGGCTCCCGGGTTCTACTCTTCAGCTTGGGGCCCGTCTCATCAATTTGAGATGTCTCGTTCCGCCTTGGCCTATCTCTTCAGCTTCAGGCCCATGATAAAAAAAAAGAATGTTATTATTTTAATGTGCGCAAGGATCGAACCTATCACCAACGACATGAATGCAAAAAGAATAGCAACTAAGTTGTGCTTATTTACTTCAAAATAAAGTGGATTATAGTATTCTTATATAAATACTTACAGTAATATAATATACTCATTTGTATTTATATTCATGACAAAAAGGAAAGGCATTAGATATTGATATTTTCGGTTGATAAAGTGATCTCCCCTGAAAATAAGGGCAACGGATACATCTCTAACAAATCACCATCTTCCGCATGAATCTTGAGAAATGACATGGATCTCGATGCAACTTTTTGAGCATGAAATATTCAAATCTCCATAAAAACTCATTCAGAACTTCAACTTCAGCAAACTCATAGTCAAACTGACTGGCTTGACAAGAAAAACTCAATATTATCATAATTAGTCAAATCAAGCTCGAATCATATTATTAAACTATTATTTGAAGTTTTTTTGACATATTTTGAAGGTTAAACGAATGTCTAAAATCGAGTGTTTCAACAAGACGAATTCAACGACCAAAGATAGCTTAAATCTGACATCATTAAGGCACTCAAATGTCCATAAACGTTGTTTGATCGAAAGAAGTTCTCTGGATCGTTTGATACGGATGGTTCATATTTCTGCATTAATTACACTCAGAACACTATAAATAGAGTCTCACCCCTCTCGTGAGAGGGGAAAGCTTGAGGCTTTAGAGAGAACTTAAAACTTTGAGAATGAGCTAAAGACCGTCACCACTCTTATCATTGCAGTCGTCGTCGGACGCCGTCGACCACCACTGACTGCTGTCAACCTATCGTGGACTCTTACAACTGGGCTAGACCCCATAGAGTTCGCCCCTTTATGAATTTTTCATGTAAAAACTTTTAGTGTTATTACTGGTTGTTTTCTTTTTACCGAGTGTGTGACGAATTTTGGTACAACGCTAAGAGATAATTCATAATTAGCGTTATGCTTATAGGTGTTCTCTCGCCTTTTACAAACATCCCATAATTAGCATTATGCTTAAGGGTGTTGAAATAGAAGATTATAATTATTTAATTCATTTTATTAAATTAATATTAATTCGAAATATACATCATTTAAATCTATACATAATTCTTTACATAAAATTTAATTCTTTCATAACTTAATTGATGCTTATGATGATATTAACCCTTTAACATATTTCATTTTTTTAATGTTATTTTGTCATTTTTAAATCTAGTTAGCGTTCACTAAGTAAGTCTACAATAATATGTAATAAATTGTTTAAGCCATATGGCACATGCATTAAAATATTAATCGAATTCCTTATTATTAAATCTAGTTAGCGTAGTAAGTCTACAATACCCTGCACTGAGTAGACGTGCAACTAAACAAGTACGTAGAATGGCTCATTAATTGTTTTCATAATTTCAATTAATGAGACTATCACAATAAGGGATTCGAATTTTAAATTTTTAATTCATTCATTATTAATATTTAATACCATCATAATATATTACTTAATATATATATATATATGTTAAAGGTATTAATTTAATATGTTAACATATAAAAATATTTTAATTTCATATAACGCTTGCACAAATTATTATAATCAAGGGTCATTTCCATGCATTGGCGATGCTCAAAATTCTTTCCAGTGTGTTGTGATAGTGTTTAATCTACATCAATAAGCGTGCATGAAATGCTTCTGTCAATCATAAGATCGTTTTTTTTTTCTTAAATGATTGTCGAATTAGGGAAATGATAACTATTGAAAAATATGTTATTTGAAAAGGTATGATATGAAAGCTTTTTATAAATGGTCTGATTCCTATTAATGAGGAAATCTCCTTTTTTATTAATCGTCTTTTGTGTCAACCCTATTTGTCTTATAAATAAGAACCCATCTTTATCCAAACAAATGTATGCAATACTACAAAACATTAGGTTTTTACGTCACATACTTTGTCCTCACCTAACTGTGTCGGGGTAGATTTTTAACTCCAGCACCTCTTCACATCTAAAAGGTAATCATTGCTTGTTTCCTCTATTATTGTGTCCTATCTAGCCATTGTGATGCATATTTTCTCAAATAGTGTTCGAACATTATACATAGTGGCTGATCATTTGTAATATTATTTTTTAAGAAAATTTCTCAAAGATGTACGAGTTAACTTAAACCATCAAAGATCTTATGTCGCTTAAGTAAGGGTTGGAAAAAGAGAACAATGAGAAAATAGAAGATAAAAAAGAGTATAGAGATGAAGCAAGAAAATTCTAATACATTTTTTTTTTCTAGAATATAGGAAAATAAAAAAGCCTGTTTCCCTCAGATGGCTTATCATAATTATAAATTTTGGAACTAAAATGGCTACAAAAATATCTTCATAAAAGGAGAAAAATATATTGAAAGTAGAATGAATATGTAACTCTGATTATGGCGGTATATGAAGTATAACGATACATGATATTCAATTTTGTTGGGTTGAAGTTAAAAATGAAGACCCTAACATGCACGCATTCATTTGTTTGAGCATTCATAATGAAACATATGACACACAATTGCCATTGGCACGCAATGATTTATATCTTTTATATGTGAAGATATTTTATGAATTGGTGATTCAACAATACATTCTCTTACTCATAGGAATGAAACAAAGGTGTGTTCCAAAGTTTGACCACTTAGCTCAAATTTAAGGGGCGAATGAAAAATGATGATGTTTGATTTAATATTAATCATAGATTTGTTTAGGCGTTCATTGTTAAATTATATGTGATTTGGTTATTAACTGTATTTGTATACTGTTTTTATCCTAATACAAAAAAATTATCATAAATCCTATTTGCACGAACCCCCTCAAATCTTGAAATGAACAACAAAACAAATTTTTAGTTTTTAACAAAATTTACCTTCCATCTTATCTAATAACTTTTAGGATTTAAGTTCCATATAATTTTAGAAATCTTAATTCACATGATTTACTAACTTTTTTCATCCAAAAAGCCCCATTAGAGTTGTGTTCAGTATTATTCTCATTGCAAGCATGGCATGGTGCTTGATATTAGATCAAGTTATATAGGTACTAAAGTAAAAGTATAACTCTTCTTGTTAATTGATCATTTTATTATTAGATTAAAAGTTGGTTGACAAAAAGAACATCTAACTATAAAAACTACAGATTAAGTGGGAAAAAACGTTTACCCATGTATGCTAAGGCGTCAGATATTAAAATGAAGGAATTTAGTGTAGGGGTTATAATAGGATGCTGAAAGTTAGGGGTGGATAACTATAATAATTTTCATTTAAGATAACTAATAAATCACTTCAAGCTACAAAAATGAATAGAATGAAATGTACATATAAATTTTTGTTTGTCTTAAGGCCCAAGTTGGGCTACAAGAACATAGAATTACTTTTGCACATTTTGCATTATTTGGGTTTCTGTTGCTTAACTTTTAATGCTTTATGTGTGATAAATTAAGACTAGAATTAGAAAGCTATGTTAATAATCACATGTATATGTACATACCATTTCAACATTTGTTCAGTGCTTTATTTCAAAAATAACATTAATGATGTTCAAATGCTTTTATAAGTATGTTGAATGTTTTGCTTAACCTCAAAAGGAAATGCTTTCTATGGAAAATATGCCTAGAAGCATAGTATTGTAAATGGTCAAAAAACTTTTTGTTTAATGGAAACAAAGTTAGGAGATAGTGCTACTTTTATAACCTTTTAGCTTTATTTCATTTTCAATTGACTTTTGATATTATCCAATGTACTCCAATCTACCCTTTCCTTCGTATGGAAGCATATCTTTCCGCCCTCTCGAAAAACATAACTTTGCCATTATTTTATTCCCATAATAATCTTTATTATTATTTTATTTTTGAAGATTACAGTGTTATATTTCTCAATGGAGAGTGATCTGAGAGAGCAAACTCCTACAAGAAATGAAATTTCATGTTATTGTGGGGTTGTCACGTAACGGTAAGAGTGCAACTGGAAACACCATTCTTGGAAGAGAGGCCTTCATTTCAGATTATGGTTGGCCTTTGGTAACACATACTACAGAACTGAAAAGCACTATATTGGATGATGGACGTGCTCTGAATGTCATTGACACACCTGGTAACAATATGCTTTTTTTATTATATATTTTCAACTCTACAAAGTTATTAAGCCATTAAAATCTTTAATTTAGAATAATTAAAGTAAGATTTCTTAGGCTATAATAGGGAAGATATAATTCTTCAACCTTAAAACCAACTTGAGTGGCTAATAAATAACACTAAAAATGTAGCAATATGGCTTAAAAGCTTTGTTGGTGATGTATATTTTCATTCAAAATCATTGGATTTTTAATTCCACATTAAAAATTTTTTTACAATTTTAAATAAGATTGCCGCATTGAATTTGCTAGATTGTATAAAGATTTGTGTGCTAAAAAGGTTTTCTAGGTTAATTCATGGAGGCTCAATATTGAAAAGTTTTTGGCATGAAATTAGAGTTGAAGTTCTACCTTTATTTTAGAAAGGAGTAAATCAATATAATGATGCCTTGATCATTTATGATGGGCCATTTTAGTACCAAAGTATTTAAAATATTTTATTTAGCCTTCAGAAGTATCTAAAATAACTCTTCTATCAAAATTAATATTATTTTTATTTTGTAATTAAAATGATATTTAGTGGCAATAGATACATTGCTTTTTAAAAGTATATTATTTCCTAAATACAATAATTTTAAGTATGTATAATTAACTTCACGTGCAACAGTAGTACGTTGAGATTTTGTTAGTTCCGTGATGAGTTATTTATTTTATAAAAAGTGATTTTATTTGTTATTTTCATTATTTTGATTGCATTATATTAAATTTTATTTGTGCTACAATGAAATTGGAATGAAAAAAATGCTTAAAAATTACATTTTTATAATAAACAACTTGCCCCACAACTTATGTTATCTCTGTTCACTTCTATTGCATTTTAACTGTTTCCATGAGTAAATAAGGTAAGAATAAAATTATATTTAATAAAAGTTTGATATTAAATAATATTTTTTTTAAAAGCTATGTTTAAAACTAATAATTTTAATTTCAATAATTTATTTCAAATTATAAGTTTATTTTTGTCCCTCTTTATGAGTATGGGGCTAAATATGATCTCTAAGATAGTCTAAGATTAAAATAGATGCTCTTACGTAATAAATGTTTTGTGTAAAATATCCTTAATTGATCAATGAAAATGAAGAATTTCAAGTAAGCTTGTCCACAATTGTCAATTATAATGAATATTACTTTTTGTATAAAACCTTAAAAAATAATATGTAATGTCAATTACAATGTTCATTCTTATTATTTACATAAAAGCAAACATTTGAGTTTTGTACATTATAAAAAATCTATAATAATTCTTTTATTTTTTTCGTTATATTTGTTTGCTCATTTATTGTATATGAAAATATTCTATAAATGGGTGTATGTTTCATCGTTGAATGCTGGATTTTGGAAGCAACAAAATTTTGTAATAGTTCACTAAATGCCTTTTCTCTTAAGAGTATTTTGTAAATGGTGTTGTGCATTTCATACATTTTTTCTATCAAAAATCATGATTTATTGCTTGTGGTATGGATTTCTTATCTTATATGTAGTCATATTACATGGATTGCCAAGGATCATGTTGTGAGTTTGTATTTTTAGTTCCACAGTAAGACTCCATAAAAGGTTAAAGTTTATATAAAGCAGAAATATAGGGATTAAGAATTAATAACCTCTACAAATTTGTCCTTTATCGCAAGTGAGGGATTACCTATTCGTTAATACGACTTTTCAAATGATTTTTTTATGTTCTATATTCATTTCTATTTCTATTATTTAGTATTATAGTTAGTTCTAGCTTCACTGATAAACGAAGATCATAAATGTACTAACATGATTTGAATCTAACTTCTAAATTTCAAGCTTTTTTTTTTGTTTGAACGTGCATAGAAGGGTTAAGATGGGCATGATCACCTTTATATTCAAGCTTCTTATTGTCCATTTTAACATTTAGAATCATCCACTACATTTGATTTTAGGGTCTTAATAATATGGTTGAACAGTTTAAGAAGTTTATGGGAATAAATTAATATTTTTTTACGTCAATTCTAATTATAGTTATTGTGTCATGTGGCTGAATAATTATTCTTGTCTGACTCAAATTTTAAATGATTTTTTTGTTATATGACTATGGATTTCATCTATCAAAAGTGATTTACGCAAAAAATATTACATAATTAAAATTTAAGAAAAAATTTATGGTCTTCTATATTTGGGGATGCATTGAGGAGCCATCAAACACTTCTATTAAGTAACCTAAGTAGATGAGATCCACTTAAATTAGAATTGGTGGTTTTTTTAAAAAATTATTTGTTGAGAATAAAATGTAATATAATGCTTTACCATTTTAACTGGTTAATTTGTAATTAACTAAAACCTTAAAAAAGGTAATCCTTATTGAATAAATTTAAAAAGTGTTATTTCTATTTTGGTAACCACACACTTCATTTTCGTTAGGATAAAGCAATATCACCTTAGTTAATTTTAACAGGTTGAGGCTAGTTTTTTTAAATTATTTAAACCCAAGAAAGTGCCTAATTATTTCACTAATGTAGAGCTTTCCCTTTAAAAAATTTGGAATCATTAACAATTGCTTTAACCACACACTTCCATTAGAATGATGCATATTAAATTTAACAATTTGATCCCTCCAGGTTTTATTTTCACTCTGACATGGAGCTTTTGAATGTCGTGTGGAATCAAAGGTTTTGGTTGTTCAATTAATCATGTGTGTCATCAAAACTAGTGAACCACCTCGAAACGTGGAAATATAACTTTTACAATGTGTTTGATTATTCGAACTAAGATAGTATTGGGATAACTGCATTGTTATGCAATCAAACATGATAGATCATTTCCTCAATCTAAATTTGAAGAAAAAATAGGGTTTAGATTAGTTATTGGTTGTTCTTCATCATATTAGAGCAAGCCTATATAGTTAATTACATCTTAAGCAAATACAATAACTTAAGAAAACTCCCAATTAAGACTGTGGTTTTTCCCTCAAGAAAATTCTAGGTTTAGGCTTCCATGATTGGACAATAGATTTCCAATTGGGAAAGGCTCAAAAGTTGAACAGTTGTTAACATAGATTTTGAGCCCTTCTCAATTGTTAACATAGTCTAGGCCATTGTTAACAGTTCTTAACATAAACTGTTCAACATTTGAGCCTTTCCCAATTGGAAATCTAATGTCCAATCATGATAGCCTAAACCTAGAATTTTTTTTAGGGCAAAACTACAGTCTTAATGGAGAGTTTTCTTGAGTTACTTTATTTGCTTAGGATGTTAACAATTTGAAAACATAGGGGACACTCAAAGATAGCAAGGAAACCTCACAAGTATTCTAGATTAACCTATTTTTTTGCATTTGAAATTTTTTGAATAAAAATTTAATGCTTCATCCAGATGTTTTGTTAAAATGTTAGGACTTATACTACATGACATACAATCATGAAGGAGCCCAAAGATAAGGATTTACGTCAAAACTAGAAGATAAACCTCAAAGTCATGGGTTGAAGTTCATCGAGAGAAGTAAAAATTTCAAGCCCTAAAGTAAAAGAAGGGAAACATGAAATGCAATAGACAAACAACCCTGTCTGGCTAGTGCGGCCATCAAAACCACCTTATCACATTCAAAACCCTGAGTTAGTTCAGGTTGAATGCAACAAAGCACGTTATGTAATGGTTTACACAAGTCCTTCATGATGAATGCATAGAATGTCTATTCAAAAAGATTAATCGGTATGCATAGACAGAACTCACTCTATAAAGTAGTGCTTTTTACCGGTCAAATTACCTCTTTCGGTACAATGATTGAGGGCCTTAAGAAAAGAAATATGAGCAATTATTATGCATATGTGGTGCCGCCTGGTGTCACTACACTGTTGATCATTTTTTAGTCATCGTTGTGATTGAGGACTCATTAATTTGTTCATTGTTATGTTGTCTTCCTTCCCAAATTGTCGTCCAACTCAGACCATGGTAATGAATGTTAGAGATGAGAATTTGGGGGGAAGAATGGTAGGCATAAATTAAAATAAATAAAATGTATAAAAATGTTTCATAAGGTGATCTTTTGTATTAATGGTTCAAAACATGAGATCAATAAAATGGATCTTATGAAAGCATACTACTAGAGAAGTCATGTTGATATACCTGCTCCAGGGTTCACATATTCCTATAAGAACAAGTCCCTATAGTTAATTACATCTAAAGTAATCAATTATTACTCAAGAAAACTTCCGATTAAGATTATAATTTGCTCTAAAAAAAGTTCCAAGTTATTGTCAAGGAAAGGATTGTCAAAATCTTGTCCATAGAGTAGTGGATTCTTAAAGACTCCAAACTATCCTAAAATTTTTTCATTAATGGTTTATTTGAGTTTCATCCTTTGCTCCATGGTTTAAGTGGCTAGAATGTCCGTTTCTGCAAATCATAGTTAGCACACCCTATAACATGTAAGGAAAATCTAGGGTGTTGTCCTTTTCTTTTTTAGCAGTCCTACAAAATAAATTTAGCAAAAAAACATTCATTTTGTTCACTTAATGTGTTTGTTGATTTTTAATTTATAGACAACTCGATCAAGATGTCCATGGCCCCTTCGTCATAGAGTCATCAATTACCCTGATCTACTTAGTCTGAGAGGGGGTTAAACCTACTTTGAAAGGAAGATTCTTGTCAACAACCACCAATTGCATCGTTCAATTGATCTTTGTTGACCCGATCATGCTGGATTAAAGTTACGTTTGGTGATCTGTGTTCATTAGAGTTTCATCTAAGTTCTAACATCTTCTTCAAATTTTAGGGGTTAAAAATTTTAAGTTGCTTTAAAATTCTTAGCCAATTAAAATTTTATTTTATCATGTTATTTTTGTCATTTGGTAACGGGCCGATCAAGATCCTAAAGTTTCATTATCCCGAAGTCATAAGGTTTTCAGTTTGATTAGTCAGGAGTGACTGAAGGTATTTTGTTGGCAGCCATGAGCTGTCTTTCTCAAAATACCTTGTCAAACCTAGTTGCATTTATAGAT